TTACATCGACAAATTCAACCAAAATATTTATTACAAGTATTAAATGGTTCGATTATTGCATTATGTAAAGTTCGACATGATATGGTAATATAAAAATACAATATTTTTAGATCTGATATATGTTTAATTATGGTTGAATGGGAAATATCGATGAGTTTATTGTTCGAATCTAGTTTAACTCATTTGAGTTTTGGGCTATGATGAAGCTTTAGCCGGAGTAATGAATAATATTATATTTTAATGATTATTTGCTATTCTGAGCCCTTTTATTGATGCTTAATTAAATTCACACTTACACTCTCAACAAAATATTTATTTATTTTTTAGTTATATCATACAACAAGTTCATATCCAGCATTAGTTGATGAACGAGCAAATGTTGAATGTGTTGGGTTTGGTAAGCGTGAAAGAATTCATTTATTTTAATGATCTTAAAACATATATATCTTTTTAGGACTTATTCGTTCAATTGATATGAATCGTCGTCAAATTCATGTCTTAATTCCTGATAATAGTTTACCTAAAACAATGATCAATGCACTTATTAAAGGATATGATGATTGTCCTGATGAATTTTATTTTATGTCTATTGATCGAGTAAAGATTATCTATTTGATTTATCGTAAAAAATGAATCATAATTTTGTTATTTTCATTATTTTTTAGTGGCGTGGTCGTATGCCTCCATATGTAACTGGTATAATTAATTCAAATATATGATTAAGTTAAAGTTTATTCATAAAGACAAACTAGAAGAAGTCGAAAGCAAACAAAAGAAAACGAGAGACATTCACTGTGCATTTGTAATTTGATATTTTGAAAAAAAAGAGAAACTTTGTTAATATATCACAACAACAACAATGAAAAACAAAATGAATTTCTTTTTTTTCTATTAATTGTCAAATCGATTGTTAGTAGATACAGGTTTATGAGGATTTTCATTAAATCGATCAGTTGAACGAGCTGTTTGCTCTCCAAGAGCATCAAGACCAATGAGAGGATCAACAGGTTGATCAGTATATTCTTCTCGACCACGTCGAGTTTTAGGTCGAGGTGCTCCAGCACTAGGTGGTCGTGAACCTAACTCTAATTTATTATCTGGATCTAATACTTGGAATATTTTATCATAATGAGCATCATTATCGTCCATGCTTTGAAATGATGGTGATCGTTGTTTATTACTACGATTAGTTTGTGAATTTTTTCGAGATTTTATTTGTTCTTCGTCATCGTCAGATTTTGTTGAATGATTTCTTGGCGTAGCTAAATATTCAATAGATATTGAAAATTATTGAAAAATAATTTTTGTTTAACTCTATATAATTTGAATGAAACAAAATAAAAGGAATCTTAACTTACTTTCACCATCTGATTCTTGTGTTTGAGCTTCAAATGTTTTCTCAGCACGCCAAGTTAAATCATTTCGATGAAGACTTTCTTTACATAGAAATGTTGTTTCTTTATGAGTTTTCATATTATATAAAACAATCTTTAATAAAAATAAACAAATAATATATAAGAAGATATTCTATTGATGAAAATCTAAAATAAAATATTACTTTTTCAAGTTTCCATGTTTTTGCTTGAATCTCTGAATTAACATAACCAATTGTCAATATTTTTATTTGTTCATCAGCATTTTGTACTAAATCAAGTTCGAATGGTTGATCAACACCTGATACGAATGTTGGACATAAATGATCAGTCCGTTTTTGTATATCATTTTCTTCAGGATGATTATTAAGACGTAAAAATATTCGACTACTTCGAGCAGGATTAAATTCTCCATCATCATCATGTGATGGATAAATTGTAACACGATAACGTATTTTATTTTCTGGAAAAAAGGTAAAGAGAAGTTTTTATTTCAAAAATCAAAACAATATTATAGTAACCTTGTTGATCTGATGAGATTCGACGAGTTGAATCGACTTTCGATTGTGATTGTTTTGAAGTATTGGATGATACTGATGAGCGTGCTGATGCCTTTGGTTTTTGTTCGGATCTGGGAGATGCATGATTGTCATCATCAGAAGATTTTTGATGCGAGTGTTTCTTTTTTGTTTGCGTTGGTTTTGGAGACTGAGTTGGTGTTGATGAACGTGATGATTCCTTGGCTTTTTGTTTGAGTTTAGGAGATGCTTTATTATCATCATCTGAAGACGTTTGGTGTGATGATTTTGATTTTGTTTGTGTTGGTGTTGGTTTTGGTTTTGGAGATTCAGCTGGTGTTGATGAACCTGATGGCGTCTTGGCTTTTTGTTTCGGTTTAGGAGATGCATGGTCGTCATCATCTGAAGACATGACACGTGTTGGTTTCGATTTTGTTTGTGT